GGAATCGAGAGGAGAGAGGAAAAACGAACGCGTTAGGGTTAGCTATTAGATCTCGGGTCGGGTGGGTGGGGGTCGGGTTTCATAAACATAAACCGATTTACTGCTTTTTTTTTTACTGCAAATAGGCGGTCAAAAGTGGATTTTGACCGGAGTATTAAAATATGCAGAGAAAAAAATCTAGCCACAAAATCCCGCGAAACTGAGCCTAATCTTTCAATTGGGCTAAAAAAATAAGGGCAAAAATAGGGCACATGATAGCAGTAAAAATCTCACGTTTTTTATAACACATAACACTAAAAGTTTTGAAAAAAAAAGACTAATAAAGAAATCCAAAATTAAAGGGTACAATTTATCAGTGCAGGAAATAATTCTTTATCTTCACTCTGCAAAGAGATTTTTCTTAGGTATTCTTCATTTTCACTCCGAAGCAAAGGATTTAACTAGATTTGCTCTTGTTCTTAGGGGTGAAATCAAATTAGAGCAACAAAAAAAAATCCTAATAATGAAGAAGAGAGTGGGAGGTAGAAGAGATGGTGACGGAGAGGGAGAAAATTAGTGTTAGCTAGGGGAATAATAGGTGAGGATATTCAGGTAACTAACTACATGTGGTTAAGCCTAATCTACTTAGGGTTGGGTGTTTTCAAGAGAATAGTTAAGGGAGGGACATCAATAACAATAATTGAATACAATCTCAGGGGACTAATATCAAAATAGTTTTAAGTTATGGACGGATATTTAAAAAACACTTTAAAATCATTTTATTTAGCAATTACGCGCTCTTTTTTTTTGCCACTTTATTGGGCATTAGTGGGTCCCGCGTTCTCCCTGTCCCGCCAAATACCTCTATTTCCCGCCAAAATCCCCGACTAATAGTTTATGTTCCCGCCTCCTCTCTCTCTCCTCTCTCTCTCTCTCTCTCTATCGAGCAATGACGAAGACAAAGGAGCTAGCGTCGTCGTCCTCGGCGATGAGGGGTACTTTTACTCGCAGTAGATCGGAGATCTTTCTCCACCGGACCCGATCCGGCCGAATCCGATCCGATCCGAAACGACGCCATCAAGCTCCAACTCCACATGTTGAGGTCAAAACTCACAACTCGGTGAAGGATCTCCGATCGAAAAGGATCTTCTCCGTTCAAAAGCCCAAGATCGAGATCAGCATCGATGAGAAGAGTGGATCTGATGATCTCGAGATCTCAAAGGGTTCGATGCAGGTTACAGTCCCTCATCTTGATACAAACAGCGATTTTGATGGAGGAAAAAGGGTTAGGGTTTCTGAAAAGACGAACTCCGGCAATTCACCTGAAAATATAATGGTAGGATCCTAACTTTATTAA